GTTCAACAAGTACAACAACACCCACAACTACAGTGAGCTCTGCTGTACCAACCACAGCCCAATCAACAGTATCTTCAACAGGAGTGGTCACTTCCACAAGTACCACGAGCAGTAAGGACCAGTTACTTGAATCATTCTTGATCCCCATTATCGACAATAGCTCTAAACATGATAGTTTTTCGACACAATGGAAAAAGCTCAAGCAATATTTAATTTGATTATCATTTGTCTTCAGCCAAAGTCCAACTTTTAATGGAAAGCTGAAACAGTCTGTTATGTCAAATATTATGTCTCTGAAATCCTTTACCTCAAATAATAATAGGTCGGTCATCCATCTCACATTGACACAACTTTCTGTTTTGCCGAAACAGGTACCACAACAACAACAGCACAATCTACGTCTGATCAACCAGTGACTACGCCTACAGCTGGTTCAACAAGTACAACAGCACCCACAACTACAGTGAGCACTACTGTGCCAACCACAGCCCAATCAACAGCATCTTCAACAGGAGTGGCCACTTCCACAAGCACAACAAGCAGTAAGAACCACTTACTTGTATTATTCCTGATACGCATTACCAGCAGTTCCTCTTAACATGATAGTTTTCCAACAGAATGGAAATTGTTTAGTCTTGTAGCTTAGTGGTTAGAGCACTCGCCTCACAAATGAGAGACCTGGGTTTGATTCCCAGCAGGGTGAAATGGTGGGCAAGTTTCCTTACTCCACACGCCTCAGTTAACCTGGCAGTAAGAAGGAACCCGGTTGTCAGTCGATTAGCGGATCGCTTTTCCAGGGGTAATAATTCCTTCAAAAAAATAATAATAATAAATTGGTTACTCAATCCACGACTGTTTGTGGGTCACTGTTGTGTGTAATTGGCTGCTGTGTTTCTCCACAAAATATACAGTTAAATCACTTTACAGCATATTCTGTGTTGCGCTTTGAGACGTCTTGTAGACGTGAAAAGGAGCCACATCAAATGCAAGGATTATTGTATCATTGTGATATATAACTCAGGCAATACTGAATTTATCATTTGTCTTAGGCCAACGTACAACTTTTAATGGAAAGATGAAACAGTCTATTATGTCAACATATTATGTTTCTGAAATCCTTCACCTGTTACCCCAAACTAACAATAGGTATGTGATCCATTTCAAATTGACACAACTTTCTATTTTGCCGAAATAGGTACGACAACAACAACAGCAGCACCTTCTACGTCTGTACAACCATCAACTGAACAAGCAGTGACCACCTCTACCGCTGGTTCAACAACTACAACAGCATCCGTAACCACAACGAGCTCTGCTGTACCATCCACAACGCAATCAACATCATCGTCAACAACAGCTGTCACTCCCACCAGCACAGCGAGCAGTAAGCACTAACAAGTTACTTGATTTATTCCTGATCCCTATTTCAAGCAGTTTCTCTGAAACATACAGTTTTACCAACATGATGGAAATAACTAAAGCAGTATTGAATTTATAACTTGTTTTAAGCAAAAGTAAACATTAATTGGATGGCTCAAGTCACCTATTGTATCAAAATGGAATACATCTGAAATCTTGTACCTCTGTTAATAGTAATAGATTTGACCCACGATCCACTGCTTTTGACAATGACACAATTCTCTGTTATGCACCATTAGGTACATCAGTCAATGCACCAACAACCACAACAACAGCACCATCTACGTCTGTTCAACCAGTGACCACGTCTACAGCTGGTTCAACAAGTACAACAACACCCACAACTACAGTGAGCTCTGCTGTACCAACCACAGCCCAATCAACAGTATCTTCAACAGGAGTGGTCACTTCCACAAGTACCACGAGCAGTAAGGACCAGTAACTTGAATCATTCTTGATCCCCATTATCGACAATAGCTCTAAACATGAGAGTTTTTCGACACAATGGAAAAAGCTCAAGCAATATTTAATTTGATTATCATTTGTCTTCAGCCAAAGTCCAACTTTTAATGGAAAGCTGAAACAGTCTGTTATGTCAAATATTATGTCTCTGAAATCCTTTACCTGTTACCCCAAATAATAATAGGTCAGTCATCCATCTCACATTGACACAACTTTCTGTTTTGCCGAAATAGGTACGACAACAACAACAGCAGCAGCTTCTACATCTGTTCAACCATCAACTGAACAAGCAGTGACCACCTCTACCGCTGGTTCAACAACGACAACAGCATCCGTAACCACAACGAGCTCTGCTTTACCACCCACAACGCAATCAACATCATCGTCAACAACAGCTGTCACTCCCACCAGCACAGCGAGCAGTAAGCAGTAACCACTTACTTGATTTATTCCTGATCCCCATTACAAGCAGTTCTCTTCAACACATAGTTTACAGATACGATGGAAATCACTCAATTAATACTCAATTTATCATTTGTTTTAAGCAAAAGTAAACATTAATTGGGAAGCTCAAGTCATCTGTTACGTCAAAATGGAATATCTCTGAAATCTTGTATCTCTGTTAACCCAAGTCAGTAATAACATTATTACTTTTGACAATGACACAATTCTCTGTTATGCACCATTAGGTACATCAGTCAATGCACCAACAACCACAACAACAGCACCATCTACATCTGTGCAACCAGTGACCACGTCTACAGCTGGTTCAACAAGTACAACAACACCCACAACTACAGTGAGCTCTGCTGTACCATCCACAGCCCAATCAACAGTATCTTCAACAGGAGTGGCCACTTCCACAAGTACCACGAGCAGTAAGGACCACTTATTTGAATTATTCTTGATCCCCATTACCGACAATAGCTCTAAACATGATAGTTTTTCGACACAATGGAAATAACTCAAGCAATATTTAATTTGATTATCATTTGTCTTCAGCCAATCTCCAACTTTTAATGGAAAGCTGAAACAGTCTATTGTGTCAACATACTACGTCTCTGAAATCCGTTACCTGTTACCCCAAATTAACAATAGGTCGGTCATTCATCACACATTGACACAACTTTCTGTTTTGCTGAAATAGGTACAACAACAACAACAACAGCAGCAGCTTCTACATCTGTACAAGCATCAACTGAACCAGCAGTGACCACCTCTACAGCTGGTTCAACAACTACAACAGCATCCGTAACCACAACGAGCTCTGCTGTACCATCCACAGCGCAATCAACATCATCGTCAACAACAGCTGTCACTTCCACCAGCACAGCGAGCAGTAAGCAGTAACTAGTTACTTGATTTATTCCTGATCCACATAATAGCAGTTTCTCTTAAAGACGTAGTTTACAAATATGATGGAAATATTTCAAGACAAAACTCAACTTATAACTTGTTTTAAGCAAAAGTGAACATGAATTGGGAAGCTCAAGTCATCTATTGTGTCAAAATGGAACATCTCTGAAACCTTGTACCTCTGTTAACCCAAGTCAGTAACAGATTTGACCCATGATATACTGCTTTTGTAATGACACAATTCTCTGTCACACACCGTTAGGTACAACAGTCGATGCATCAACAACCACAACAACAGCACCATCTACGTCTGTGCAACCAGTGACCACGTCTACAGCTGGTTCAACAAGTACAACAACACCCACAACTACAGTGAGCTCTGCTGTACCATCCACAGCCCAATCAACAGTATCTTCAACAGGAGTGGTCACTTCCACAAGTACCACGAGCAGTAAGGACCACTTATTTGAATTATTCTTGATCCCCATTATCCACAATAGCTCTAAACATGAGAGTTTTTCGACACAATGGAAATAACTCGAGCAATATTTAATTTGATTATCATTTGTCTTCAGCCAAAGTCCAACTTTTAATGGAAAGCTGAAACAGTCTATTATGTGAACATATTATGTCTCTGAAATCCTTTACCTGTTACCCCAAATTAACAATAGGTCGGTCATCAATTTCACATTGACACAACTTTCTCTTTTGCTGAAATAGGTACAACAACAACAACAGCAGCAGCTTCTACATCTGTTCAACCATCAACTGAACAAGCAGTGGCCACGTCTACTGCTGGTTCAACAACTACAACAGCATCCGTAACCACAACGAGCTCTGCTGTACCATCCACAACGCAATCAACATCATCGTCAACAACAGCTGTCACTCCCACCAGCACTGCGAGCAGTAAGCAGTAACCACTTACTTGATTTATTCCTGATCCACATTACAAGCAGTTTCTCTTCAACACATAGTTTACAAATACGATGGAAATCACTCAATTAATACTCAATTTATCATTGTTTTAAGCAAAAGTAAACATTAATTGGAAGCTCAAGTCATCTATTATATCAAAGTGGAATATCTCTGAAATCTTGTACCTCTGTTAATCCAAGTCAGTAATAGATTACTGCTTTTCACAATGATACAATTCTCTGTTATGCACCATTAGGTACATCAGTCGCTGCATCAACAACCACAACAACAACAGTACCATCTACGTCTGTTCAACCAGTGACCACGTCTACAGCTGGTTCAACAAGTACAACAACACCTACAACTACAGTGAGCTCTGCTGTACCATCCACAGCCCAATCAACAGTATCTTCAACAGGAGTGGTCACTTCCACAAGTACCACGAGCAGTAAGGACCACTTATTTGAATTATTCTTGATCCCCATTATCCACAATAGCTCTAAACATGAGAGTTTTTCGACACAATGGAAATAACTCAAGCAATATTTAATTTGATTATCATTTGTCTTCAGCCAAAGTCCAACTTTTAATGGAAAGCTGAAACAGTCTATTATGTGAACATATTATGTCTCTGAAATCCTTTACCTGTTACCCCAAATTAACAATAGGTCGGTCATCAATTTCACATTGACACAACTTTCTCTTTTGCTGAAATAGGTACAACAACAACAACAGCAGCAGCTTCTACATCTGTTCAACCATCAACTGAACAAGCAGTGGCCACGTCTACCGCTGGTTCAACAACTACAACAGCATCCATAACCACAATGAGCTCTGCTGTACCATCCACAACGCAATCAACATCATCGTCAACAACAGCTGTCACTCCCACCAGCACTGCGAGCAGTAAGCAGTAACCACTTACTTGATTTATTCCTGATCCACATTACAAGCAGTTTCTCTTCAACACATAGTTTACAAATACGATGGAAATCACTCAATTAATACTCAATTTATCATTTGTTTTAAGCAAAAGTAAACATTAATTGGAAAGCTCAAGTCATTATATCAAAGTGGAATATCTCTGAAATCTTGTACCTCTGTTAATCCAAGTCAGTAATAGATTTGACCCACGATCCACTGCTTTTCACAATGATACAATTCTCTGTTATGCACCATTAGGTACATCAGTCGCTGCATCAACAACCACAACAACAACAGTACCATCTACGTCTGTTCAACCAGTGACCACGTCTACAGCTGGTTCAACAAGTACAACAGGACGTGCAACTACAGTGAGCTCTGCTGTACCATCCACAGCCCAATCAACAGTATCTTCAACAGGAGTGGTCACTTCCACAAGTACCACGAGCAGTAAGGACCACTTATTTGAATTATTCTTGATCCCCATTATCCACAATAGCTCTAAACATGAGAGTTTCTCGACACAATGGAAATAACTCAAGCAATATTTAATTTGATTATCATTTGTCTTCAGCCAAAGTCCAACTTTTAATGGAAAGCTGAAACAGTCTATTATGTCAACATATTATGTCTCTGAAATTCTTTACCTGTTACCCCAAATGAGCAATCGATCTGTGATCCATTTCGCATTGACACAACTCTCTGTTTTGCCGAAATAGGTACGTCAACAACAACAGCAGCAGCTTCTACATCTGTAGAACCATCAACTGAACCAGCAGTGACCACCTCTACTGCTGGTACAACAACTACAACAGCATCCGTAACCACAACGAGCTCTGCTGTACCATCCACAGCGCAATCAGCATCAACGTCAGCAACAGCTGTCACTCCCACAAGCACAGCGAGCAGTAAGCAGTAACGAGTTACTTAATTTATTCCTGATCCCTATTTCAAGCAGTTTCTCTCAAACACATAGTTTTGCCAACATTATGGAAATAGCTAAAAGTAATATTGAATTTATAACTTGTTTTAAGCAAAAGTAAACATTAATTGGGAAGCTCGAGTCATCTGTTACGTCAAAATGGAATATCTCTGAAACCTTGTACCTCTGTTAACCCAAGTCAGTAATAACATTACTACTTTTGACAATGACACAATTCTCTGTTATGCACCATTAGGTACATCAGTCGCTGCATCAACAACCACAACAACAGTACCATCTACGTCTGTTCAACTAGTGACCACGTCTACAGCTGGTTCAACAAGTACAACAGGACCCACAACTACAGTGAACTCTGCTGTACCATCCACAGCCCAATCAACAGTATCTTCAACAGGAGTGGTCACTTCCACAAGTACCGCGAGCAGTAAGGACCATTTACTTGAATTATTCTTGATCCCCATTACCGACAGTAGCTCTGTATATTTGTTTCAGGAGCCATCACTTATCACATTGACCCAATTTTTGGTATTTTGGCAATAGGTACATTAGTCGCTGAGGTACCAACAGGAACAACTCCTACATCTGTACAACCATCAACTGAACAAGCAGTGACCACCTCTATCGCTGGTTCAACAACTACAACAGCATCCGTAACCACAACGAGCTCTACTGTACCATCCACAGCGCAATCAACATCAACGTCAGCCACAGCTGTCACTCCCACCGGCACTGCAAGCAGTAAGCAGTAACCATTTACTTGATTTATTCCTGATCCCCATTACAAGCAGTTTCTCTTAAAAATGATAATTTACCAACATGATGGAAACAACTCAAGCAATACTCAATTTATCATTTGTTTTAAGCAAAAGTAAACATTAATTGGAAAGTTCAAGTCATCTATTATATCAAAATGCATAATATCTGAAATCTTGTACCTCTGTTAACCCAAGTCAGTAATAGATTTGACCCATGATCCACTACTTTTCACAATGACACAATTCTCTGTTACGCACCATTAGGTACATCAGTCACTGCATCAACCACCCCAACAGCAGCACCATCTACGTCTGTTCAACCAGTGATCACGTCTACAGCTGGTTCAACAAATGCAACAGCACCCACAACTACAGTGAACTCTGCTGTACCATCCACAGCCCAATCAACAGCATCTTCAACAGGAGTGGTCACTTCCACAAGTACTGCAAGCAGTAAGGACCAGTTACTTGAATTATTCTTGATCTCCATTACCGACAGTAGCTCTGTATATTTGTTTCAGGAGCCATCACTTATCACATTGACCCAATTTTTGGTATTTTGGCAATAGGTTCATTAGTCGCTGAGGTACCAACAGGAACAACTCCTACATCTGTACAACCATCAACTGAACAAGCAGTGACCACCTCTATCGCTGGTTCAACAACTACAACAGCATCCGTAACCACAACGAGCTCTACTGTACCATCCACAGCGCAATCAACATCAACGTCAGCAACAGCTGTCACTCCCACCGGCACTGCAAGCAGTAAGCAGTAACCATTTACTTGATTTATTCCTGATCCCCATTACAAGCAGTTTCTCTTAAAAATGATAATTTACCAACATGATGGAAATAACTCAAGCAATACTCAATTTATCATTTGTTTTAAGCAAAAGTAAACATTAATTGGAAAGTTCAAGTCATCTATTATATCAAAATGCATAATATCTGAAATCTTGTACCTCTGTTAACCCAAGTCAGTAATAGATTTGACCCATGATCCACTACTTTTGACAATGACACAATTCTCTGTTACGCACCATTAGGTACATCAGTCACTGCATCAACCACCCCAACAGCAGCACCATCTACATCTGTTCAACCAGTGATCATGTCTACAGCTGGTTCAACAAATGCAACAGCACCCACAACTACAGTGAACTCTACTGTACCATCCACAGCCCAATCAACAGTATCTTCAACAGGAGTGGTCACTTCCACAAGTACCGCGAGCAGTAAGGACCAGTTACTTGAAATATTCTTGATCCCCATTACCGACAGTAGCTCTGTATATTTGTTTCAGGAGCCATCACTTTTCACATTGACCCAATTTTTGGTATTTTGGCAATAGGTTCATTAGTCGCTGAGGTACCAACAGGAACAACTCCTACATCTGTACAACCAGCGAACACATTTACAGCTGCCTCAACAAACACAACAGCCCCGAAAACAACAGTGATCTCTGCTGTACCATCCACAGCACAATCAATCACATCTTCATCGACAGTCGTCACTTCCAAAAGCCCGGCGAGCAGTAAGAACCAGTTAATTCTAATGTTATTTACAAATACTTTAGGCAGCTTCATTCAGGATGTTATTTTTTTCCAGGCAACATTTAATATATTGTACGTAATCAATGTCTGAACAAAAAAAAGGAAAGGTTCTTCGAAAACTGAAATCGGCTGATGTCAAAACAACAACAACAACAACAACAACAAGATTCCATTTATAGAGCGCCTTTCACGTCAGGAGGACGTCCCAAGGCGCTGCACAGTTGGGTCATGACCCGAGCAGGGGGGAAATGGTCAGGGTGAGGGGAGGGAAGGGAGGGAGAGAGGAGGGGGGAAATGGTCAGGGTGAGGGGAGGGAAGGGAGGGAGCGAGGAGGAGGAAGAGAGTCGAGAGGGGAGCTGAAGGCACGGTCAAAGAGAAAGGTTTTGAGACCGGCCTTGAAGGAGGAAAGGGAGGAAGCAAGGCGAAGGCACTGGGGGATGGAGTTCCAGAGCCTGGGGGCTGAGAGGCTGAAGGAAAAAAAGGTTTTGAACTCTGAAGTCCTGTATCTCTGTTAACCAAATGAACCTATAGTTTTGGTCTGTGATCCACCACTTTTAATGATAGACTCAATGTTCTTTTTTGAGGAAATAGCTACTTCGGTTGCTGCAGCATCACTAGCAACTATACCTTTACAGTCATCGACTGTGCAAATTCCCATTTCTGTACAATCATCTACTATCCTCTCAGCAAGTGTAACAACAAAGTCAACTGCAGTGAGCTCTGCTGTAACACCCACAACACAGTCAACACCATCAACGTCATTAAGCTTGAAAAGATTCGAAAAGAGAAAGAAGTCTCTCAAGGTGTCCTATGCGGAGTATGATACCAGACAGACTGGATGGGCTGAATGGCCTGTTTCTGAGCTGTACCATCAATCATTCTCTGAATCTTAGCAACAAATCTTTAACAAAACACAGTGATGAGGCCACAAAATATCTCGAGTCTGAATCAATTGTTTTTTTACCAAAATGTAGGTACTGAAGCGCCTTCGACACCAACGGATTCCACGCCAACAGCCCAAACAAGCAGAGTCACCAGCACTGTCCAGGGAACAAATACGTCTACAAGTGTCACAACTGTGGCAGGGTCACCGACCACGGAAACATCAATACCCACGTCCACAAATCAGACAGTAACAAGTGCAACAGCAGGCATAGGTAAATGGCAAAAGACGCTGACTCAATGCTTTTACTTCTAGTTATCCACACTACATTGATGTAGAATTTCCCGACTCTTTGTTTGCATTCTCTACAGAGGAACCTCCCATTGGGGTAGTAACACAACCTACCAACCAAGGATCTGCACCCCGTAACTTTAACGTGACCTTCAGTGTACTGAACCGCCCATTCACAACAGATCTACAAAATCTGAGTTCCCAACTGTACATCTCAGAATCACGCAGCGTTGTCGATCAGGTCAGGATGCCAGCTGTTTATATGTATATGTATATATGTTTAATTTAAAACTATATTCGACCCAATTGCATTTCTCCCACTAAAATTAATATTTGCTGTTTCATTTCTTGCAGCTCAACAATCTGTACAACAAGAGCAGCGTCAATACAACATTTCAAAGTTGTCAGATTCTAGTTTTCAGGTAAGACGTGTTCACAGCAAACGTTACCCTGAGAGAACTCGGATAATAGGTTTTTAATATTCAGTCACATTAGGCATTGTTGCATCAAAGCCACATTAAGATGAATCCCCTGAAATGTGTGTTTGCAGGCGTGCGGATGATAGCAACACGACAGTAGAGGCAAGTTGTACTTTCAAAGCGACTGGCGCCACTCAGGATGTGAACAGAGTTCTTCTGTACAATGTATTCCGAAACAACACTGAAAACATCTCGACCTTGGGAACATATACACTGGACAGCAACAGCCTCTACGTCAATGGTACTTAGTGGGACTCCCACATAAACATTTGTAATGCTTCGTTTCTTTCCTGAAACTCATTTAAATGTCTTTTGCCAAATGTCACATTGTCTGATGCATGAATCAAACTCACGCTGTTAATCTGTTCAACCCAAATTTAGCAGCCCAATTTTAATCAAAATTCTCTCTCTTTTGCCAGGTTACCATGAAGGAATTGCATCAACCAGTAAGTAGCAGCAGTTACCTATCTTTCTCTCTCTCTCTCTCTTTGCGTAATGTTTTTGGTTAACGCAGAGAAAAACATTCACACACAAGTATTGATCGCCTATATATCCCCCACGCCCCTCTTTAGCATCAGCTGTGATAACACAGGCCCCAAACCCGCAACCTAATCATGTTGATTTCAATGTCACATTCATAATCACAAATGTGTCTGACACAGACTATTGGATACAAGGTTAAAAGAGATTAAAAAGACGGTATATGGAACTAGGATTAGGTCTAGGTGTTGGTTCTAGGATAGGCACTCATGGGGAGTATAATCCCAGACAGACTGGATGGGCTGAATGGCCTGTTTCTGAGCTGTACCATCTATGATTCTCTGAATCTTAGTAACAAATCTTTAACAAAACACAGCGATGAGGACACAAAATATCTCGAGTCTGAATCAATTGTTTTTTTTACCAAAATCTAGGTACTGAAGCGCCTTCTACACCAACGGCTTCTACGCCAACAGCCCAAACAAGCAGAGTCACCAGCACTGTCCAGGGAACAAATACGTCTACAAGTGTCACAACTGTGGCAGGGTCACCGACCACGGAAACATCAATACCCACGTCCACAAATCAGACAGTAACAAGTGCTACAGCAGGCATAGGTAAATGGCAAAAGACGCTGACTCAATGCTTTTACTTCTAGTTATCCACACTACATTGATGTAGAATTTCCCGACTCTTTGTTTGCATTCTCTACAGAGGAACCTCCCATTGGGGTAGTAACACAACCTACCAACCAAGGATCTGCACCCCGTAACTTTAACGTGACCTTTAGTGTACTGAACCGCCCATTCACAACAGATCTACAAAATCAGAGTTCCCAACTGTACATCTCAGAATCACGCAGCGTTGTCGATCAGGTCAGGATGCCAGCTGTTTATGTGTGTATGTATATATGTTTAATTTAAAACTATATTCGACCCAATTGCATTTCTCCCACTAAAATTAATATTTGCTGTTTCATTTCTTGCAGCTCAACAATCTGTACAACAAGAGCAGCGTCAATACAACATTTCAAAGTTGTCAGATTCTAGCTTTCAGGTAAGACGTGTTCACAGCAAACGTTACCTTGAGAGAACTCGGATAATAGGTTTTTAATATTCAGTCACATTATGCATTGTTGCATCAAAGCCACATTAAGATGAATCACCTGAAATGTGTGTTTGCAGGCGTGCGGATGATAGCAACACGACAGTAGAGGCAAGTTGTACTTTCAAAGCGACTGGCGCCACTCAGGATGTGAACAGAGTTCTTCTGTACAATGTATTCCGAAACAACACTGAAAACATCTCGACCTTGGGAACGTATACACTGGACAGCAACAGCCTCTACGTCAATGGTACTTAGTGGGACTCCCACATAAACATTTGTAATGCTTCGTTTCTTTCCTGAAACCCATTTAAATGTCTTTTGCCAAATGTCACATTGTCTGACGCATGAATCAAACTCACGCTGTTAATCTGTTCAACCCAAATTTGACAGCCCAATTTTAATCAAAATTCTCTCTTTTGCCAGGTTACCATGAAGGAATTGCATCAACCAGTAAGTACCAGTAGTTTCTCTCTTTCGGTAATGTTTCTGTTTAACATCTAGAAAATTATTCTGCTGTATCCCCCACACTAAAATGAATGAGCAACAAAAAAGGATGAGACTTTGTCCTTATTTCGAGCAAGAGGGATACATTTTGCATTGAAGAAAATTGTGAATGTTCCTCATTAAAGGTGATTGCTTTTATTATATTCACAACTTATTTCTTTACTCGTTTGTTCACAACTGCTTTAGCACCAGCTGTCGTCACACAAGCTCCAAACCTGAAACCGAATCCCCTCGATTTCAATGTGACCTTCATTATCACAAACTTGTCTTATACAAACGAACTACAAGATCCCATCTCTGCGCCATTCATTTCTACATCCAGCAAAATTGTACTGGCGGTAAGCTGTCAAAACAATAATGATAATGAATTTACTCATATGTTTCCTGCGTATGTTTTATTTTATTCCTTCTCAATCAATGTCTATTTAATTTCTGCAGCTCAACAGTGCATTTAATCACAGCAAAGCCAATGCCACATTCAGCAGTTGTAGAATTGGTTCTTTAAGGTAAGATGTTTTGCTTTAAGCATCGTTCAATGACTGTTTTAAAAATACGAATCGAATGGATTGAACCAATTTTGATATGAAAATTCACAAGTTATAAGTTGTAGCTTATCTTTGTGATTTGCAGTCTGGCAAATGGAGGGAAAACCGAAGTGTACGCACTGTGTTCTTTCAAGAATGAATCCACCGCTCAGAACGTTGATAGAGTCACTTTGTACCAGGAGTTCAGAGACAACACCAACAGCATCTCCAGTTTAGGAGAATTTTCACTGGGCAGCAACAGCCTCTACATCAATGGTATTCACTCTTTCAATCAATTGCTCTGTTGTATCACATTGATCACTCTCTGATTTCGAGCCTTTTAAGTTCAGCTAAACTCATAAATACTTTCACTGTTTCAAAGTTGCCTTTTTAAACCAATCGTTTCATTTCAACCACATCTACTTTTTTGTTACAGATTATCATGAGCCCACACCTTTGACCAGTGAGTATGATATATGTTTCTCAGAACAAACAGTATATCATATATAGTTATGCAATCAATTAAGCCCACATTGTTATGTTGGGAGCTGATGGATTGTTGATGGCGTATCCTTCTGTATTGTCAGGAACATATAAAACTCTGGAATTGAAGTCAAATCCATTCTACTTATGATTGTAACAGGGACAGTACTTTTCTGTCTGGTCAAATTCTATGTCTGAGATGTGGTTTCTATGCAGTGAACAGACTAATTTGGGGGAATATATTGTCAGAAGGTTCGGTGAGGCAGCATTATAAAAAATATGAATAATTTGGTCACTCAATCCATGACTGTTTGTAATTCACTGCTATGCCCAGTTGGCTGTCGGGACTTTCACCCTCGTTATTATTATTCAATATTGTTTAGTACTGTTAGGTACAAAGGAAGCAATCTTTATGTGGTAGTCAATTAAGACGCCTTAGTCACCCCACCCAAAATTAAGAACATGAAAGGGATAGGACCATTGCCTCCTCCTGAGGAAGGAAAGTGGTACATTTTACATGGAGAGAGTTTGCGATTGGTGGCTTGCAAGTAAAGAAAGGGATTTTCTCCTTGTAAAATAAATGATGCAGTGTTACTTTGCAATTGTTACAGAGATCACCCATTTTGTGTACATGCTCATCTTTTGCTTCACTTCTTTTTGACAGCGATTGCCCCAGTTGTAGTTACACAGGCTCCAGTTGGGGGATTGAATCTTATCGACTTCAATGTTACCTTCATTGTAACTAACTTGGCGCACGTAAATGAACTGCAGAATACCAATTCTTCACTGTACATCTCTGCATCCCAGATAATCGTTTACCAGGTAAGTTGATGAAACAATAATTGCTGCCCACATATTTACGATCATATTAATTCATTGCTCCCTAACATTGAACTGTTTCCTTCTTTCAGCTTAACCAGGTGTTTGAAGGCAGCAGTATCAATGCAACGTTCACAAGTTGCAGAATTGGCTCTCTAAGGTAAGACATTTTACTGTTGAGAAATCTGTCACGAGTACACTTTTAAATATGCCCTTTTTTTTAAATATGTCTTCAAGACATAACTCTTAAGACACATGCTTTCAGTCATTTTTCACCACCGCACCCCCTTCGGCAAACACTTTAAGACATGCTCCTCACATTGAAGGTGCTATACTATATACATGTGAATTGCATTGTGATTCCTCCGCAGAAGACTACATTTAAAAGATGTTTCTGGGGAATTAATTATCATTGCTTTAACTGAGATGTCATTCATTTCTCTGTCATTCTTCCATCAAACCTTACTTATGTTATAGGAATTGATTTGAAGTAGATTAATATTAAGTAAAAATAATATTACTTGCATTTGAGATAGCGCCTATAATGTCAAACACCTCATAGGGTTTTGCAAAGATTTTTGGAGGATTGTTAACCATGGCACTGGGAGAAATTCCCTTCTCTTTTTGTAAAGTGCTGTGGGATCTTTAATGTCCATCAGAATAGATAGATTCAACATGATTCAACTCCTCATGCAAGGATGGCACCTCTGACAATTCAGTGTTCCCTCAATACTGCATTGGCAATGTAAGCCTACAACAACAACAACTGACATTTCTATAGTACCCTTCATGCACGGTAGAGTCCCAGAGCAATTTAAGCCTAATCTGGGACTTAAACCCACAACTTCCTGATCCAAAGTGTTCTGAATTTTGTGCTAAACTGGTCCAACTGATCCTTCCTGCATATTGAAAGATTTTATTACTTTTGGCGCATTTCGCAAGAAAGTAAGATTTTGTTTGATATAAATCGACTTTTTACAGAAAACCTGATTTTTTTAAAAAAAAAACAACATGATGGAGGAATGTTACGTGTGTTTGAGAATGCAAGGAAAGAGAATCTAAATTCTGGGCTGTATTTGTGTGTTTGGGTGAGGCAGAGTTGAAAGAATAGTAATTATTGTTATTGTTGAAAACATTGAGAAAGTCACTTTAACAGGCTTGGTGTACTGGCAGCACACTCTAAAATTAATGTACAGATGTTTAGGATTCCACTGCACCTCTTTCTCTTTCTCAGACACGCCTGGATAAGTCATAGGCTCCTCTTACACAACTCACAAAACCAGTCCAGTAAATTTGCCCATTGCATTATCCTTTTGAAAGAGACATTTGTGAATTTCACTTCATCTCTGATTTAATGTAAATAATAAATGTATTTAAATAGTAAATTAATAAATGTATTTTAATCAAACACATCAATCCACTTTACAGTGTATTTATTCTGTGAAGCGCTATGAGACGTCTCAATGACGTGATAAGGTGCTATATCAAGGATTATTATTATTGTCCATGAATTTCCTTCTTCCCGCTGAGGGGTTCAAGCCCCATGTCGGGACTTTGAACTCAGTTTAGGTTGACACTCGAGTGCAATGATAAGACAGTGCTACAGTGTCGGACGTGTTGACCTTTGGATGACTCACTAAACCAAGGCTATACAAATATAATTTGTTGTTGTTGTCCCATCCACCTTTCAATTTGATGTTAAAGAACCCATGAGACCATTTGACAAGAGAAGGGAGTTTCCTCAATCCTCTAGATAAATTGGTCATTCGCTTCCTTGGCTATTTACGGGCCATTGCTGTGGGCAAATTGGCCACTATGTTTGCCGTCAAATACACAGTTGCTATGCTCTTAACAGTAATTAAAGTGATTTGTGATGTTTAATCGTCATAGGCACCATGTCATATGCAAAGATTATTATTTACCAACAAGCAGAGAATGTCATCCGTTGGGTTGAATCAATGGCCACAGGAACGCCAAAGTTAATGGTTACACATTACGCTCTTTCACTAAAATAATATCTTTATTTTGCAGCCCAAACAAAGGCAACATGAAATTGTACGCAATCTGTTCCTTCAAAAACATCTCTTCTGATCAGAACATTGCTCGCATCGTCTTGTATCAGAAGTTCAAAAACAGCACCAACAACTTATCCACCTTTGGAATATATTCAATGGACAACAACAGCCTCTACGTCAATGGTATTCACTGTTTAAATGACAATTCTTCTCTTCAGTTAGATTGGACCGTTAGATTTACTTTGGATGCTCTAGCCTCAGATTTTACGAAAAATTCAGCTTAAACTCATCACATATATTCATTGTTTAAACGTTGCCTCGGTCACCTTATTTGAAACGTATTGGTTTGTTTTCGCAGATTACCATGAAGCACCGCCTTATATCAGTGAGTATCACTCATGGTTCCTTGTGATGAATGTTCCCTTTAAATGGTGCAGTCAATAACAAATTACTCGTTAATTGTAAACGGCGTGGTCTTTCTCTGGTCCACCGTTCCTTCATTAGATGTTACAGGTCAAACTCTCTCTTCACCTCCTTATACCCCACCACAACAACAACTTGCATTTATATAGCGTCCTTCACGTAGGGTGACGTCTCGAAGCATTTCATACCAGGAAGGCAGAAAATGTTGAACACTCAATCGTTCAGTTTGGATGCTCTTAATCATCGGTGTATAAGACACCTGCTTGACTGCAGGAAAAGATTCCTCACGTGAAGCTTTCTATTCTCTTTATAATTATTTACTCTCGTTTCTTTACAGCTGAAGCTCCCATAGTAATCGTAACTCAAAATCCAAACCAGGCAACAAAGCCCATTAATTTCAATGTTACCTTCACCCTAACAAATCTGACATACAAAGCGGATTTGGAAAATGTCAGTTCCCCAGAGTATATCTCTGCATCAAGCAATGTTGTAAATTCGGTAAGTTTGTTTTTTACTTGCATTTTGCAATTTCAATTGACATCAATCCTGTTCAGCTGCTTCTCTTTCGGAAACATCGCCTGTCCGATTGTTTCTCCCCCAACCCCCTGCCTTAACCACCCCACCATCGGCAGGTGGACTTTCAGCCAATCTGCCCTTGCTCTTTGGACCTCCATCCTGGAGTCCCTCAGGCTTCCTTCCTCCCTCCTCTCGTTCATCTCTCAAAACGTACCTCTTTGATTTGACTGTGCTTTCAGTCATCTTTCTCCTACCCACACCCCACCCCTTCATCCCGCTCCATGGGTGCTGTGTAACACCACCAAAAATTTACATTTATATATCACCGTTCACACGAGATGGGGTCTCGTAGCACTTAATGTATGTTAACATATCATCAACATAATGTAAATGTTAATCTATCATTGACTTTTGATTTCTTACAGCTCAACAATCTATATGGCAAGGGCAAGCTGAAAAAAACATTCACCAAATGTAATCTGGTATCGTTCAGGTAAGATTCCTTGCTTTATATCTTGCGTGTCAAAAATATTCCACAGACATACACAAAATTGCACAACAGCGAATTGGATGAAGAAGGCCCTTTCAGCCCATTTGATCGCATCCTTCCGAAAGAGCCCAGGCTGCCTTGATGGCAGAAATATAACATTGCCAGGCACTACTGTCCTGTAAATCATCCAGATAAAACAGATCACTTACTTCATATCTCTTTGGGTTTTTTTCATATTGTTGTGTGCTCGTGCCTCATTCGCCTACAAATACACAGTCACTACACTTTGCAGTAAAAACTGTGAAGTGTGTTGAGTCTTTCCGACAATGTCATAACGGTTACGTCAAATTTAAGGATTATGTTGTGTGTCACCCGCTTCCATACACGCAGGCACAATGGGCCGAATGGCCTCCTTCTGCACTGTACATTTCTATGTGGTCTGATTCTGTGCTATAATGTCCCATGTATTTCAATGTGGAATTGGGCCATTTGCTATTACATTTTATGATTTTCATAAAATTCCCCTTTCTCTTTAATTTGACAGGTCTGCGGAGAACACCAATACGAAAGTTGAAGCAGTCTGTTCTTTCAAAGATAAGCCAACAGTCCCGGATGTCAATAAAGTTGCTCTATACAATGAGTACAGAGACAACACCAACCAAATCACTGCATTAGGCTCATATTCACTGAACAGCAACAGCCTCTACGTGAATGGTATGTATCCAAACAATTTCATGTTTAATAAATACAATACAATACAAAATTACACTTGTACAGCTTCGTTCATATCGGGAGGACGTGAAATAATAATAATAATAATACTGGTAATACTGCAACTCATTTACCTCATACCTGGTTTTACACACCCACATTCATGTTGCCTACAAAATACAGTCATTACACTTTACAGTCATTTTCCGAGATTCTGTGCGATCTTAAATTTTAAAACGAAGCTTCCTTAATAGGATACGACCGAGATGGGATTTTAGGCAAATAGTAAAAAAAAAATTCCACTCAGAGAATTGTTGGATATGAGCTGCCCTGCCAAGTAAGGTGGTAGAGGCAGAGATTATTGTGAGTTTCAAGAGAGATGTAGGCAATCATATGAAAATTAAAAGCTTGAAAGGTAAAGGTATAAGAATAATACAAAGCAGTGGGAATGAAAATACTTGATGGGCTGAATGCCCTCCTTCTGCGCTGTAATTTCTATGATTCTATTTCATATGAAAATGCAAGTGAAAGATTTGGAGAATATTTACTTTGTTTTTGGTCTCATTTCAGGTTACCACCCACTGCAAACAACGCGAGCTCCAACTACCACCACCGTACCTCCAGTCATACCAGGAATCCAAGATGGGGACCTGACATTTGAAGTGCTCTTTACTGTAATAAACAGAAATTACACTGAAGCCCTCAACAATCCGGACTCCCCAGAATATCAGGCTTTATCGAACAATGTTACCAGAATGGTGAGAACTATCCCCATTGAAACTGCCTTAAGTATTAACGTCCCAGCGTTAATTATTCTCCTTAAGTATTTGTAAGAAAAATGGTCTAAATGGAAATTGTCAGCCTGGTTAGGTTGATGGCACTATCTCTACTGAGTCTGGAGGTTGAGGGTTCAAGCTCCACATTGGGACTTTGAGCTCTTGATCCAGGTTGACACTCTAGTCTGGTTCTGCGAGAGTGCTGCATTGTCAGAGGTGTCAACCTTCAGATGAGATGTTAAACTGAGGTTCTGCCTGCCTGTCCAGATGGACATTAAAGATCACATGGCACTATTCAAAAAAGGAGAAAGCAACTTCTCGTTTTGTTCTGGCCAACAATCTTCTAGACAAAAAAAACTGATCATTTTCGTGTGCAAATTGACTGTTGCGTTCACCAACAAATGGACAGTCACTACACTTTACAGTAAAATACTGTGCTTATAAGATGGTATATCAAATGCAAGATTTGCTATTAAATTGTGACTAATGTTTGCAACTTCAGTAAAACAAAATCTGCTTTGTGAATCTTTGTTTCGACTTTGGTCTAGCAAGATTTATTTTAACTTGTGGAATCAGAAGGTTTTTATTTGTTTTTGCAGCTTTCGAGATTATATCAAAACAGCAGCTTAAAGGACAGCTACAGAATCTGCGAGGTCACAGGATTGAGGTATGAAATGGATAGTCGTATCAAAATCTTTGCCCATGTGTTTCAGAATTATCAGAAATCCAAAAAATAGGAACACATGAAAGGAACACAAAAAAAAGGTTGTCTCCAATCAATATTATTTTTTTCTAAAAAGTATATTCGGGGAAATTGAAGCTGAAACTGATTTAATAACAACAAGTTGCATTTATATAGCGCCCTTCACGCCGGATGGCATCTCGGAGGGCTTAAAATTTCCAGAGACCACGTGTAAACCTCCCTGTGGCATACATTGTGTGTGGGTGTTGAGCGTCAAACAGATTATGCTAAATTATACATTCCTGAGTCCAATTTATCAATCACAATATGGTACAAACTGTGACAGCAGTGCAGTCATTTATTGGTATGGGAAGAGAGCAGGTAAATTGAACGTAAAAGATTTCTCTGGAAAGAGCTGGCACAGACATGATGGGACGAATGGCCTCCTTCTATACTGTAAATTTCTACGCTTCTATTAAGAAAATCAAAAGGCATAGCGCTGCTTGATGAAAGCTATGAATGTCTTTCTGAAGAGAATTTTTCTTGATTATGGATTTTCCTCCCACAACAGATTGGGATCCATTGTAGTCAGCTGCAATTGCTACTTTAATCCCAAAGCTAATCTGGAGCCGGTGCTGTCAAAGGACGTCCAATCCATATTTGATGTTGGAACTAACGGCACAGAATTGCTTGAAGGGACCTATCAGCTCAGGCCAAACAGTTTGGTTGTGGGTAGGTATCAGCTTCAATTACATTTCTTTCCAAAGGGTTCTATAGACTTTGAACTCATATAGTGTGTGCCGACCCTCTACAAACACACACACACACATCCCTACACACACATGCACAAGTGCTGGATGTACACTGGATTGTCACAGTTGCCGTCCTACAAAATAATAATTTGTTCACTTGCTTCACGACGGTTTGTGGAGTACAAAGTATACAGTCAATTCACTTTACAGTATATTCTGTGAAGTGCTTTAAGACTTCTTGAAGACCTGATAAGGCGCTGTATCAAATGCAGGGATTATTATTATTATTATTACAGATGAGGCTTTAAACCAAGGCCTTGTCTGTACCTGTTCAGATGGACGTTAAAGATCCCGTGGGACTGTTCGAAAGGAGAAAGGAGTTTCTCCCGGGCTTCTTAGATAATAATTCCCCCACCCCAGAGAAAATTGGGTCATTCATTTTTTATTTGTTTCTGGGACATTATGGGCGCCAATTGGTGTCCACATTTGCTAACAAAAATATACAGTCACTACCCTTTACAGCTCAATCTGTCAAGTGCTTTTGAGATGTCCTCCCAATGTGAAAGGCATTCTGGAAATGTAAATTGCTGTGTTCTTTTTAATAAGTCACATTATTAATTATTTTCTGATTCTCTGCAGAGCCCAAACCACCAGTTTCCTCTGGTAAAACTGAAATACCATACTGGGCCATAATCCTCATCGTCCTGGCCATATTGATTGCTCTGTTTCTGCTTTTCTTGATAATCTTACTGGTAAGTGGATGATTCATCTTCCAGAAATCATGTTTGACCCCGTTAAAACACAGCGACAAAAGGGATAGGAAGGGACGTGTCAAACTCATCGTCTGAGTTATTTCGGAGATGTTTTAGCGCTCGAGCTAGGAACATTCTCAAGTGGGGACACAGCTGACTACACATTCAGAAATCTGGTCTGTTCCCACTAGAAGACAGAAATAACTTCAACAGTGACCCTGATAACCTGGAAACAGCACCGGGGATCATTTTGCCTGTGAACCCATTTATTTGTTTTAGTCCGAGACACTGCCTTATAACTGAGGTGGCCCTTTGTGGATGATGTGTCAAATGGAAGGATAATTGCTGGTGTGGACAAGTAGAGTGAAAGGAGAGATTAGGAGAAATGTTTTCACACAGAGAGTTGTTTGGCTGTGGATTAAGGTGTTAAGCGGCAGAGTGGATTGTGGGCTTCAAGAGGGAGCTAGACAGGTACTTGAAACGTAGGGTTTTAAGAGGTATGTGGATAGGGTAGGGCTGTGGGACTGTAAGTACATCTTGCTGTGGGAAATCAACGCAGGCTCAATGAGTCAAACGGACTCCTTACACTCCTATGATTCTATGAGTGCGGCTGTGATATTGTCAAGTCAAACTGCTGTTATCATCAAAGGGGTGCTGGAATCTAAAACAAACGCTCAGTTAAAACTTTCGGATTCATACAGCAGATTTATGTTTATTATTAATGTTATTTTTGCCCACAAAATATACAATCAATTCACTTTACAGTATATTTTGTGAAGCACTTTGAGACAGCTCGAAGACATGATAAAGCATTATATCAAATTGCAAGGATTATTGTGGCACCTTATCACATATTCTACTAAAATACAATCTAATTTAAGGGGCTTAATTTAGTTTATTCATTTGATGTAACAGAAGCTGTCGATAGCATACTACACAAGTCAAGTTCTGTGGTACAAATGTCCAACTTTTTTTTCTTTCAGCTTATTTTCTGTCTGAAGAAGAACAAATCTGGCTCCTACAACATAATGCAGGATCCTTTAGGAACCTACTTCGCCCATAAGAAATATTACTGAAAGCTCTGTGAACAAACATTATGCAAAAGGAAACCTAACCATGGAGACAAATGAAGAATACGATGCTTCAAATCAATGTTATATTTATATCTACAAACTTGAAAACTTAAGCTACCTTTAATTTCCTTGAAGCTACAGATTTTTTCATTTTTGCATGCACTGCTTTTTAACATCCATCAAAGATAATTTGAGGTGAAATTCCACCCGGGTATAGATTTCCTCTATTTAGGTTGCAGTTCAGAATTTAGCAAAATTACTAATTTCAGCCTTAACTTTGAAATTGGTTTTCTGAAGTTCTTAAAAGAACACAAACAAAACCTACTTGCTTAAACATTAAGGGCATTTCAATAGAGTGAAATAAATGCATGGATTATAATAATAATAATGATTATTATAATAAATTGAATGAGTCCAGACCCAGGTGAAATTTGTTCCTGAATATGGTTACAGAATCCTTCTCCTGTGTTTCAATGCATCTCTTGACAAGTCAGCACTTTGTTTTATAGGCTATCTCTTCCACGATAGTAAGTACCTTAGTTTTCATTTGCAACAATGAAAGTACATATGTTTTATCTTTTCAATGCATAATTTCCACGAAAATCAAACGTACGTGCGCGTGTGATTGAAATAGCAGGACACAACCTTAACAGAACAGATATTTAACTCCCCCCTTTCTGAACTTTGACACCATATGTCGGTGCATTAGTGATAGCTGTCCAGAAACCCCAGATGTTCAGTTCCTCGGGCTACAGAACTGGACAAAGTCCCGACTGCTTGTGAGTAACTTGGGGATCACAACTGCCAAACAGCTGCAGTCACTTATTCTCTGCAGTTTACGCCAACAGCTTTATGTTATTGATGAGAATTCGACACTATTGCCAACAGAGTGGGCTCTCCTGAATTATATTGTTACAATTTCATGTTTATTTGTAAAAGTTTGATATTTCTGTACTTTAATCATCACTGAAGTGACCTCTACGGTAAATCCACCGTTATATTTATGAAGCTATATTTTGCATTTTTCTACCTCTGACTGCTTCACATTTCCAACATTTGTTTTTCTCAGTATTGATGGCTACAGTCACAATGTTGTAAATTTTCTGAGCTACTGAAATGAGCAGCAACATTAAACTATATTTCATAATCATTTCTCCCAATCGGTTTGTCTCATTATTGGAGACGATGGGATTGTTGGCCAGGACACAGGGAGAAGTTCCTTACTCTTTTCAAATAGTGCAATGAGATCTTTTAACGTATGCCCGAGCAGGGGAAACATATCGCACATGACGGTGGAAGGTCACAAGCCTGTGTTTGTACCATAAAGAGACTTCTTCTGCACTTTGCCAGTACAAATCAAAGACAGGTCCTGCCAGTAACATGTTATGTTAGGGTGAAACAGAGAAGTGGGTGTAGCATTTGCTATTTATTTATTCAACAGGCTCCTCTGGTTAAATGAAATTTATTAAGAACAGGGCGTAGCAATGTCTGTTGGCTGGCACACCTTAACATGTTCTCTCTGTCAGAGAGTATCATATTGCCTCAATGCCTGACTGATGAATCACCAAGCATAGCACAAGAAGCACACTTATTGTTCTGCTTCTAAATCTCCAGCTTCTCTAGATAACCGTAATTTAACTATAGAATCATAGAATCGCACAGCACAAAAAGAGGCCATTCCGCCCATCGAGTTTGTGGCGGCTCTTTGAATTGAGCAATTAATGTCAATCCCACTCTCCAGCCCTTTCCCCATAACCCTGCAAACCCGTCCTCCTCAAATATCCGTCCACCGCGTTTTTAAAAGTAGTTATCGAATCGGCCTCCACCGCCCTTTCAGGCAATGCGTTCCAAATTCGAACAACTCGCTGCGTGAAAAAAATGTCTTCTCACCTCCCCTCTGCTTCTTTTGAGACTATTTTGAATCTGTGACCTCGAGTCACCGACACACCCACCAGTGGAAACAGTTTTTCCCTTTCTAACCTATCAAATCCACTCATGATTTTGAAGACCTCTATTAGGTCCTCGTAGCCTTCTCTGCTCCAATGAGAATAATCCTAACTTCTCCGGCCTTTCCCTTCATTCAAGGTCCCTCATTCTTGGTCCCATCCTCGTAAATCTCCTCTGTACCCTTTCCAATGCCTTAACATCCTTCCTATAGTGTGGTGCCCAGAACTGGGCGCAGTATTCTAACTGAGGCCTAAACAGCGTTTTATATGGGTAAATCATAACCTCCTGACTCTTGTACTCTATGCCCCTATTTATAAAGCCTAGTATCCCATATGCCCTTTTTACAGCCTTATCTACCTGTCCTGTCACCTTCAAGGATTCATTTACCTGCAACCCCAGGTCTCTCTGTTCTTTTACCCCCTTAAGATTGTATTACCAGTCTGTATTGCCTCCGCTCATTCTTTCTACCAAAATGCATTACTTCGCATTTCTCCACATTGAAACTCATCTGCCATGTGTCGCCCATTTTACCATTCTGTCTATGTCTTCCTGCAGTTGGCTACTATCCTTCTCACTGTTTACTACCCTACCTAACTTTGTGTCGTCCGCAAACTTGGAGATGGTGCTTGCTATACCCAAGTCCAGATCATTTATGTATATTAAGAACTGCAGTGGTCCTAATACCAATCCCTGGGGGACGCCACTGTTCACTTCCCTCCAGTCAGAAAAGCAATGTCAATACTGACATTGACTGAGATAGGCTAACTAAACAAAACATAACTTTTAATTTGTATAGCAATTCCCGAGGAAGGAAGGCAGGAAGGAGATGATCACGCAGAAATAATCAAAAAGATTATAATAATTGATATAGCGTCTTTAACATCGAGAACATCTCAAAGAATTTCAGAAATTGACTGTAAAGTGCAGTGACTGTGTATTTCATAGGTGAACAGAACTACAGTATGTCCACAAACAAGAGGACCTGGGTGTGATTCCTGGGCAGGGCGAAACTTTGAGCAAGTTTCCTTACTCCACACACCTCTGTTTACCCAGCAGTAAGTAGGAACCCAGCTGTTAGTCGATTGGCGGATCACTTTTCCAGAGATAATAATCCCTTCAAAAGAAAACATTAAAAAAAGGTCACTCAATCTACGACTGTTTGTGGGACACTGCTGTGCGCAATTGGCTGCCGCCTTTCACCCATAAAATACAGTCAATTCACTATACAGTATATTCTGTGAAGGGCTTTGAGATGTATCGAAGATGTGATAAGCTGCCATATCAAATGCAATGATTATTATTATTATATAGATTGACTCTGCTCCGCAGAATGGCGTTCCCTCTTCGCCCAATGCTACACCAAAGTCTAACTAACTGGAGGTGCTAAAGACTGTCTTGGAAATTTTCTAATCACCTTTAAAGAGCCAGAGTGCCACTGCCTGAGCATGAAATAAACTTGGAAACAGGTTTTTCTAGAAACAACTTGTAATTCTACCACACTGCAAATTCTACACTGACAGGCATGTGCATCCAATGCGTTCAATGATTTAGTGCAAACCCTATTGACCTTATATATCAAAGAGAGAGAGCGAGAGAGAGAGAGATGGGCAAAGAAAGGAAATCTTGTGATTTCCAATTTAGGACATTCTGCGAGGGAATGAGAAGAGAACACACGTTTGCATGTTTATACATTCTCAAAATATCAAGTGTAGTGACTGTTTTTGTAGGCAGCCAGGCCCCAACAGAAAGAGCCCATAAGATTTATCCCAGAGGATTGTCACACTGGGACAAACTCCCTTCTCCTTTTGAACAGTGTTGTGCAATCTTACACGCCAACTGAGCTGAGTAGAAGTTTACTCAGATGTGTCTATTTTAGTCACTGTTATAATAATAATCCTTGCATGTTGATATAGCGCTTTTCACGTCGGGAGGACGTCCCAAAGCGCTTCACAGAATATACTGTAAAGTGAGTTGACTGTATATTTGTGGGCGAACGCGGCAGCCAATTGCGCACAGCAATGTCCCACAAACAGTCATAGATTGAAAATGACCAATTTAATTATTGTTTTTGTTTTTTTGGAGGGATTATTATTAGGCTCTGTGTGGAGTAAGGAAACTTGCCCGAGGTTTCGCCCTCTGCCTGGAATTGAACTCAGGTCTCTCGCTTGCAAAGCGAGTGCTCTAACCACTGAGCGACAGGACTCCAAATATATAAAACTTATATAAAACTAAGGCTATTCGTTCTCCAGCATTTACACTGCTGTTTGTGAAGGGTTTTGAGACACTACCTTGCATGGAGGTCGCTGTATAAGTGCAAGTTCATGTTCTTGTTCACGGCTGTTTGCGAGTTGTTGCTGTGCTGACACTGGCTGCTGCATTCGCCTATTAATGCACAGTCACTGCATTTAGAGTAAATCTTGTGAAGCGCTTTGAAATGTTCTGCTGACGCACAAAGGCATTTTTAGTCAGATGCAAGGAATATTTTTGAAACAATCATGTTTATTATTACTGACTGGGTGTTTTCTTTAGTGCAGTCCATTCCGAACTATCCTGAGTTAGTAACCTGCAATACGAATGGTTTGGGTTTGCCCTGCCCTAACTACTCTGGAAATAATGGGGTTTGTGGCAACCTCAAAGCATTCTCTAAATCACAATAAGCTCAACCCCAGCTCTCTGAGTAAATCATCACCGAGAGGGAGGAAACTGGCAAAGGGCAAACTGAGAAGTCACTTGCGTCTTTCATTATGAAAAAGCCCATCTATCTTCTTGTCAGATCTCTCAATTCTTGCACCCTTTGATTCAATGTTCAGCCGTTGTTATCGTACCTCAAGATCAGTCATTGTCTGTGAGACTTCCTAAACATCTGCAGATTAGATCTAACATCCTAATAAAGTGGTTTTACCTCAAAATTTGAATGACGTAATGAATCTGGTTGAATCATTTCAAAATATTCACATTGACTCTCTAGTTCACATTCTAACTCTCTAGTTCACATTGCTGCACACAGTGTCCATTGTACATGGCTCTGCTTCAGACAATAATTCAAGAATTCAAGTCTTAGAGGAAAAAGTAATAATAGTAATCCATATATTTGACATAGGGCCTTATCAGGTTTTCAAGACCTCTCAAAGCATTTCACCAAATATACTGTAAAGTGAATTGACTGTATATTTTGTGGGCAAAACCCGGCAGCTAATTGCACACAGCAGCGTCCTACAAACAGTCATGGATTGACTGACCAATTTATTATTTTTTTTTGAAGGAATTATCACCCCCAGAAAAGCAATCCGCCAATTGATTAACAACCAGGTTCCTACTTACTGCCAGAAAAACATAGGCGTGTGTAGTAAGGAAACTTGCCCAACATTTCGCCCTGCCCAGGAATCAAAGCCAGGTCTCTCATTTGCGAGGCAAATGCTCTAACCACTGAGCTACAGGACTCCACAATGT